TGGCCTGTGTTTCTATAGGAAAATTAGTCTAAATTGATAAAGATGCAGGAGAGAAATGCCATGCTATAAAACTTTATAAGTGTTCACAGGCCAGGCATGGTGGCACACTCCCGTAATCCCAGTAGCTTGGGAGGCTGAGTTGGGAGCATCATAAGTTTGAGGCCAGCTTTATAGCAACTTACTGAGGCCCTGATCCAAAATTTTAAAAAATTAAAATGGCTGGATTTAGCTCAGTGATAAAGTGCTCCTGGGTTAAATCCCCAGGTCCCAGTACCAAAAAAAAAAAGAAAGAAAGAAAGAAAGAAATACTAATATAAACAAATGATTGTTGGAAACTGAACTCTAAATACTGGTAAATTTTTAGAGATTAAAAATATGTAAGAAGGAAGTGATAGTAAAACCTCAAAAATCTAAATTTCACATCACAAAAAGTCACGTGTGAGCTGGGCCAAAGTTTCAAAAAATTTGTAAAGGTTTTAAAATTTATAATAGAAACAACAAAAAAATTCATTCATGAATCCATCCAGTCAACACATAAAATATTATTTAAAAGGAGGAATCCCTTGGTAAGAAGTGTACCAAGGTCTCAACCTTCATGGAGCTTACACCTAGAGGAGAAGACAGTATGTGAGAGCTGGGTATGGTGGCACACACATGTAACCTCAGATGCAGGTGAGAGCAGTCTTTCTGGGGTGCAGGAGGTGATGGAGTGAGTGTAAAGGAAGAGCGAAATTTTCCTGAAAATGTCTAGTGGATAATTTCCAGGTCAAAGGGTACAAGTATTCTAAATCATGATGACTCTTGTCAAGTTGTCTCTTTTTATTTTAGGGTTGTGCATTCTCCTATATGACAACATTTGATAAAACCAGTTATAAACAAGCAAGTATTTTTCTATCATCACCAAGTGGATAGTAGTTCCAAAATCACTTCAATCTGGTGGACATAAATTATATCTTGTCTTTAAAAAATAGTCCTTGTAATCTGTACAGATATAATTAGCATGGATTCAAAACTGGAAATCATAAAAAAAAAAAAAGAATGGGGAAAAGGAGGTATTAAATTCTCTGAGCAAAAAACTTGCACACATTTCAAAATAAAATGTTTTTACATTAAAAAACAGTACTATCAAAATAAAATGTTAGTATCCTCATGAAAAAGTATAGTGCTTATAATAGGGAACTTTGAAGTCCCTATAAATCTAGATAAAATCTACACATGCGTCATGATGGCTAGCTAAGAATCAGCAGTGCTCTGTGTGAACAGGTTTGGGACAACTTTTACTTGGGAACATTATTTTTAGCTGAAAGATCATCAAATCTATTTCTTATGGCAAAAAGCCCAACTCATTGAAGAGGTTCACAAATATACTTAATTTGCTTCAACTAGATTGAATCAATGGAGTAATATATGAAAATGAAAATCTCCCACATTGCTCCCAAAATGAAAAGCAGTCAGACCAAAAAGATCAAGATATCCATGGTGGAGTGATGGTGGCTTTAACCACACAGAAATCTGAGGAATGGAAGA